ACCCCTCAAGGGACGAACAAATAAAAGGCCAGGGACTTCACGTTGCAAAACAGAAATCAAAATTCACTACCGGCAGCGATTGTGACTGCCGTCTTCAAACTGAACTAGCAAGGAGGTACGTATACCATACGGTCAAATACATTCTTTCTTTTTTATAAGAATATGTTTCAGAAGAATATCGAGGTTGAAATTTGCAAAATTTTAAGAATAAACCCGAGGTTGAGATTTCGAAAAGAATATAAGTTTGTGCGTTGAAAATTTGTAAATACAATGCCAATGATTATATGATTTTTAACTAAACCGTTTAAAAATCTTCCTTTCTCTTAACGGCAAAACTATCCAAAAAGCAACAAAAACAGCACTAGCCGTATGTTCGATGCTAGTAACATTTCTGCAAGAAGTTATGTGCGTCATGTCAGACTATAATACCTGCAGGCTGGCTCCAAAATTACTTTAACGCCATCCAGAAACCAAATACATTCGAAAACAGAAATGTCATACGCTATAATCTAAGAATATTCACAAGAATATTTCAGCCTAAAATCGGCAGGAGTATAAAAATATTTAGCCCCGGCCGGAAAAAAACAATATTCTTATAAAAAACAGTGTATTAAGCTGAAATTTTGTATATAGGTTATAAGCTGCAAAGACAATTAAAAGATTGGAAATTTTGTCTAGTCACTACGTTTTAAGTAAGGTTCAGTATTCGAGGGCTTGGCGTTGTTGGAGTTGCACTGTCATGTATTCGAACCTGCTTCTGCCGCTGACTCCTCTCCAAGAGTAGCTTTTCCACCTGCGCGCCACATGACATAGTCAGATCCATGCGAACAACCAACAAGAGGCGAAAAATGTGCGCCACCTGGTAAAGGTGTATTCGGATGCCTGTCTAGTTTCCAAAGACCACGAAATGTCAGCGAATATTAATAGCTTGCTGATCCTGGGCATTTTGCACCGGCTGAAGAAACGACTGCAACAAGGTTCAACAAAGCCGTGAGAGTTATTATCCGATGTGCCATTCTCAAATATCCAAGTGTGTTCTACGCAGCGAGTAATTTAGGACGAATCAGAGGTCACGGACTGCCTTTATATACATGTCGTGTTTCGATGACTCGGCAAATCTAGAGATTTCGTGTTGGCTAATTAAAAACACGAATCCGCCTGTTTACTTGCCAACGGGTTTCCTTCACGGATATTAAGCCTATCTATAAATAAAGAAAAAAGACAAACGAAATCCTACTCTATGATTGGTCACCCGAGTGGGTAAGATGATGCGATATTGTCCCCGGCCTGTGTTCAACATGCAATTCCAAATTCATTCATTGATCAAGCTTGTTCGTTCAAGGTGTCTGAATATCGGCCTTGTTGTACTTTTTGCTCTTTTTTTTGTTTTACCTCGAATGCGCTTCAATTCATACATGTTTATAATAATCATCATTTACTTATAAGA